AGGAAACAGAGCAAACCACACAGGTACCATACAGGTGTTTCAGCTACTTTGCAGACCCAGGAGAGGGCAAAAGATTAACTCTGAAAAAACAATATAGTAAGAAGAGCAAACTAGTCCTTAGCTTTTACTCACAAAAGCAATCCTTACTCATGTAAGTTACACCGTTGATGACAGCACTCTCCACACTGACTAATAAGTATTGCTCAGTTGAATAAAGGTGGCAGGTCGAGTTTTATACAATTTTGACAAACATGATTTAGGGATGATCACCAAATAACTACTTTGATTTACTTCTAAATATTACTAATCAAGGTTTAATCTAAAATGAATGATCCCTGTATATTCACAAGTTACTAAAACCAGCTACAAATTACTACAGTAGTTAATAAAGTCCCTTCGTCCTCTACAAAATGCCAGGTATTTTTGTCCAAAATATACAATGATATCTGTAATGTCTGGAGTGTACAGCCATCTTACAAAACATATCTGCCATGTAAATGTTTTTTCTTGCTAATGAATAAAATATGCGGGACACGGGAAGGTATTGAGTGTTCTTCCCAGTCTTCCTGCCCGTCGTTCTAAATGCAATGTCTGCAAATTTTTGGTAGCTCTGTACATCTTTAATGGAATCAAATGTATTTCCAAAAAATTTGTTCAACCAGCACAAATGACATGTTGATCTGGAAAAGTCGAAGACTGAACGAGGTCAGGGACTGAATTATCCCATTTGCCCCTGAATAACTTAATCTCTCTCTCTGTTCAGACCACATTGGATTATAAGGTCAAAGCAGAGTGAGGAATCTTTAGAAGCATTTCTCCAACCTTCCCGAAAATAGAAGCTGTTATTTTGTGTGCCACAAACTGGATGATCAGTTTCAGCAATAAAATGTTTGCTCTGTTACCTTGTCAGAGGAAAAAAAAAAAACAAACTGTTACTCAAGCTAACTGACAAAACTATTTAAAAATGAGTATATTGCTGTATATCTACATCTGCTCCTGCAACAGAATATTTATGTCCAAATCGCAGTTAAACCAACTAGATTAGTATAGTTTCCTTTTTTTTTTTTTTTTGAAAGCAGAGATGGCTATTTTCATTTTGCTCCATTCAACTTGTGCAACCTGAAGGTGATTGTACTTACAAGAGATAACTTGGACATTTCTGGAGAAATGTGGTCAGTGTGGCTGAAATACTTTTTATTTTGAAAAGCAAAAGGTTAAATTATCCACTCAACTTGTATCACATAAAATAGAAAAGAAAAAAAAATATTTTCTTATTTCCTTTCTTAAACAGGTAAGTAGTATTTAAAGGAGACTGCATTTATGTGAAATGTCTGAAACCAACAGCAGCCTTGCTAAATATCTGGCAGATATCAAGCAGTTCTTTTGGCAACAACTTTAAAGTAGTACCTAAATCTAGTGCCTTTCATTTGCCTTGTCCTTTGGAATCCAGCTTTAACTTGGATAATTTTGTATATTTTTATCTACTACAAAAAGAAGTCTTTTCTACAAATTTTTTCCAGGACCTCTGATGGAGAAAAAGTTATACTTCACCCTTCTGAGAAATAATCTAGACAGGGCTCTGGTAGCATGAGGACTTGCTGCTTTGCTTACAAAAAATTTGTGTGTTTGTTTCTCTGTGGATTTTTTCCTTAATGAGCAGAAGGTGAGACTGCGCAGAAAATAATCTTTAGATAAACTTCTGTTTTAAATGTAGTTTTTTCACTTCTAAAAAGGCCCAGTCTCTTTACAGTATTTACTGTCACAGAAACTAAATGAATCCTTGCCTGTGACATCAGCTGCCATCAATGCTTCTGCCCTGATGACCTTCACCTGAAGAAATCCCACATCCTTCATGTTACGGAACATCATCATTGGACTCTAAAAATAATAAAAAGAAAAATAATTCTGGATTGCAAAAAAGACAAACCAAAAGCAATATTAGCAAGTTAGTGTTTTTTTCAGTATTTTGCAACTTTAACTTACCAATGAAAATTCAAAGGAAAAATTAGAACATGAATGATTAAATATAACACTAATTCAACTGTTAATTCCCTAATAGTACATGAACAACCATCCATCAAAATTTTAAATCATATCAGTGTATTAACAAAATTAACACAAACAATAAAACACTTCCTCTCCCGGAATACCTTTGTGAGATCTGTGTTCATGTTTCCCCTTTGATGACTGCAATAAAGTTTTGAACAGTGACTTTGGGCCAATATTGCTTTTCTGCTAGCTGACCATTACATGCAAGCTTGCATATAGCATATATGCATATATAAGCTTGCATACAGCTTGCAAATAACAATCTAAAGAGGATTACAACAACAACTTTCATAATCAAGTGCAAAAAAGATTTAAAAAAAAGAATTAAAAGAAGGTTCCAATTTCATGGCAGAAAGCTCTTACTATAAATCTTTTCTTTTTTTAACATAAATTTCTGCAACACCTACATATATTAAAAGGAGGATGAAAAAATTACAGACCAGAATAACACTTGCATCTATTCATCCAACATATGTTTTAGAAAGCTGCTTGGAAAGTGTGGTCTGTTGCTGCTCTTTTTCCAAATAACTGAAAGTAACAAACTGGGAGTATTCCACCAGTTAGGTGTCGTATGCTAAAATTCTCGAGCTCTAACTTCGAATATAATTTAAAAGTTGCAGAATTTCAAATGATAGCACATCGAATGCAGCTTTGAATCTGCAATCAATTAATAACAAACCTGGCATTATCATTCAGTTTTTAGATAACCTAGGGGAAAACCTCCGAAAGAGGAGACTAAAATCACATTTTCAAATCCATTTTAAATCATATATATATGTGGCCTAATTTTAGGCCTAATTTTGCAAGTTTTGTTTATAAGCACGTCCCTTTATTTTGAACTAGTTTAAAATCTGGACTAATGCATTTAATGCCTGTGGTCTTTTCTAAAATTTTAATGTAGTGCAGGTGAAACCTTTTCCACTGCTTATGATAACGTCCAGATTTCTAGAAAACGGAAACGTCAGGTAAAACACCAAGTCAACAATTTTTTAATTTATTATGAAGGCAAAATCGACTGTTATGGAAAACCAGAATAAATAACATCACTGCTCAGAAAACCACAGGTGAATGAAATATTAAATGTCAGCTTGCAAAAACTGCAGTATGTTTATGCATAGATAACCTATCCATTAAAATGTTAGACATATAATATGCATCCCTGTCTTTTCATTAATAAGACAATTCTAACCGTTAAATCACACTCTGATATTAATTTCACAAGCCCCAACTGACCGTTTACTGTTTACAGTGAAGGTTTGACCTTGGCAGGCTGTACTGAGGAATCCAGTTAAGTGTGGTACCCCACATGCTACATACATAGGAATACGTTCATGTATGTTATCACAGGATAATGGTTAATACATTTTTATCATTTGTTATATCATCAGAAATACAGCTTAAAAAATGCTGATGGTCAACTTAGTGCATGCCCAAGCCCCTGCTTATGTGCTTACAAGCTGAGTGTGGCAGAGACGCTGTTACAGATAGCACTGTGATAATTCAAAAGCCTGTTGGCACCATCCCTCATTTATTACAGTAACGATCAAGGTTTGGAAGCTTCTTATCAGAACTGGTACCACAACAGAGATAATTCTGCTCTAATACCATGGTGAAAGTGAAAGGATTAACGAAAATGTTTCCGCATTTCACCCAAGTTTCCCCATGACCAAGCTGCAGAAAGAAAACAAAGCAAAAAGCAAACACAGAGCAAGCCAAGCGGCTGCCCCCCTCCCTGCAATGCCGTGCAGTCCCCTTTCTCCAAATTTCATCCTGGTAAGCTCGTTCTGCAAAAAAGACACCAGTGCTGTATTTCACATTGCTACCTTTGTTAGCATCCTGAGGAATAATTGTTTTTGAACTTTTAGTTCCAGTAAGTCAGCTGGCTTGGGTTCGTTTGCTGCACATGGGGACTGCGGAGACTGCTGAAAATGTATACAATGCCACAGCAGAGGCTCTGGGAGAACCAAATGGCTTTAATGCATTACTTTAAATACATAACTTTAAGTAATGATTTATCAGATGATATTCTGTCTTCTTATTTATGATTATTGTTGAAGGCCTCAAAACCCGCATGGTTTCTGAAGCCTGAAATTTCCATAGCAGAGGAATCTGTGATTTGCTGTGAATCTTTTCAGCCCTCAATAGATGGGAAAAGATTGAAATGCTCTGGAGATGAGTCCTCTTTATTTTTTTAATGAAAGGCTGTATAATATATTTTCTGTATGGCTGCAGCAGCTGTCAGGGAGAGCATCTCAGTTCAGCTCTATTATGGGAGAAGCAATACCCCATCCTATGGCATCGAGATACACTGAGGGCCCAGTACTGATTGACAGCTTGTCACCATGACGTCTTATTCCATCTCTGTTATGGAGAAAATTAATGTCACACCACCAGCCTTATGACTCGCTGTCATCTTAGAACTGCTCACCTTTTATCAATGCTCTAAATAACATTTCAAGCCCATCGTCTCACGGTGGACAATCTGGTCAAGGGACATTAAATCGGATGACTGTGAAATGTCATAATAAAAATGGAATGCTAACAACTTCTTCTCTAAACTAGCTCCTCTGGTTTTTAAACTGTGACAAGGGGGACCGTGGGTTCAGCACACCCGTTCTGAAAAGGTCATACAATCTCTCTTGGTCTGTACCCATTAATGCGCCCCCCTCCTCACCCCAAAAGGAATTAATCTTTTCAGACAATTGTGGTAAAATAATGGTTCAAACAGTAATGCCTGTTTAATTTGTAAGGCTCTGATGTTCAGCTACAAATGGTTAAATGACAGTAATAGAGTCATTTTCCAAGGCTATTTGATCTGATGGCAAGGTCAGCTCATTAACTGTTTTTGGCTGCAGAAAGGGTGCAAAATACATTTCTCAAATGGAAGCTAGATTTTTTAAGAGGACAAAAAATAACCCCCAAAATACAGCCGCTCGATGGGGAATAGTACATCTTGCTAATTGCATACTCTTTCTTTGTATCGGTTCTGAAATAGAGATATGAATACCAAAGACAAATCAAACATACACAAAATAAACTATTTGAATTTGGTTCATCCTTGCCATTTCTTTCTTCTGCTGTCCAATGGTCATTTTAATAAAACCAGTAAAATTTATCAAAAAGGTATATCGATGCTACAGTTTTCAAAAACACATAATAAGAAATTAATGCCCCTGCAATATAAACATCTTCCAAAAATAAAATGTTTTCAACTGCGTACAGCAATATAAATATAAGAAAAGTCACATATCCATGAATATGTAAGAAACGGAAATAAATAGATCAATCTTACAGCACATAATTATGCTTTACACTGGGGACAAAAAATTGAGAATTTAGGAAAACCGATTAATAATACACAGTCATAACATGTTTCTGTACTGCTACTAAATTATCAAAACCATCAGTATCACTTGACTGCCATATCGTCACACACAATAATCCACAGAAATACGGTATTGTTGCACTTGGCTGCAAGAAGTACGTCACCACAAAAATGGATCCATCACAAATTTATTATATTTATAAAGATCTATTCTGACAACCACAGGCTGTCTTGGTGGATTCCAAAATGTGCAATAACTCTCTTAATTGTAATTATTTTTTAAACATGGTGCACAATACCTTAGCTCTCAGTTGGTTTAGGAGTATTATGTTTAGCCCCACTAAGTCACCTCTATTAAACTGTGTTTATGATAACACTATTGCTGTATGAGTTGTACAAGCATTAGCAGACAGCTGATTCAGTGGAGATAGCCAGAATAAATTTGCTGAAGCGCACATCCTGCTAATCTGTTTGAAGAATATTGTACAGCATTAGTACCAGCACTTCATGTTATCTGCACAGCCTGATAAGGTACATCTTTATTAAATTCAGTTATTGAAAGGATGTCAGTCATGGAATAGGAATATTTTAAAACCTAAAAAAAAATTAAGCGGCTCTTTGTTAGTCAGAGCTTGGTTTAATGGCTGAGTGTCTAGAGAAGCCTTTCTAAACACCTGGCAGCATTGTACAATAAAAGCTTTGTAATTTTAAGTGGAAATAGCTTTTCCTTTTTTTTTTTTTTCTTTCTCTGTGTGTAGTGAGACAGTTACTTTTAGTGATTTAGGTATTAGCAAATACTGGAGTAAGAGCTCCCCTCTCTGTTGCTTTGACAAAACTACACAGATTCTGTGTAATGTGAGGATGCTGGGAAATGAAAATAATTTGCCTCAGAATATTTCCAAATGGAAATATCGTTTAAAATAATTTTTTTGAAGATACAAAATACTGCTCCAGCCTCTAATGTGCAGACAAAAAATAGGTTTTCTTGCCCTTTAGTAGACGCTCAAAAAAAAAGGCAAAACCTATTGGCACCTCAAAACATTTGGCATAAACACTCACTAGAAACTGTACAGCCACTCAGTGACCCCTTATTTATTTTATGCTTGGTACAAATTATCTGCATGGCAGTAAAATTAACTTCTTTATGTCACATGATCATATCAAATAGTTGAATTACTACGTAAAAACTACTTTGTTGTATAAAGAGGATTTATAGCCTTCTTGATGTTACCTGTACCAGCCGTGATAACATTCGTAACTATTTAAATGACTGTCGTTGGCTGAGTGTGCTTAGGATATAATGGGTATATTTAGATTCTCCGCCCTCGATACTCATTATTTATATAAGCACACATTTTGCAAACAAAGGGCAAAAGAGAAGAACTCCCTACATATCTCTTCAGTATCTCCTCTCGCTCCTTCTGGTCCTCCAGGGAGTTGATGGAGAGGTCCGAGATAGTGACTGCAGCTGAGGCTGTGAGAGTCACCAGCAACACCAGGCATCCCTCTCCGTCCTCCAGTGGCATCTCCAGCTTGTGGGTTTGTTCCTTACTCAGGGTTGACAGGTCAACCTGGCACCTAGAAACAAACATTTTCCATCAGCATGTGGTTTTCTTCAGATCAAATAAGAGCACATTGGCTTACTTGCAGTCAGCTGCAAAAAAAAATAAATCAGTGGAAATTCCTTCTCAGGTTCTGGAAGGATTTCTCTTCAGCTTCAACCCATGCCACTTGCTTGACTTTTTTTTTTTTTTAAAGCTAAAACCTGTTATGCATGTGAACAATAAATATTAAACAGAACATACAGACACAACAAACAAGGTTAGCTAATATGCCTTACTCAAATGCAGTCAAAGAGAATTTTAAAAATCCAGCTTCAGACACAAATTGTACGTTTTAATTACGCCTCTTGTATAAACACAAAATATAAGTTTTGATGTGAATGTTTTTGATACCATTCCTCTAACAACAGTAAAGATCCTCTCTTAAAAAAAAAGCAAAAATCTGTGTGGACTTAATTGTGATGGAGTTAACATGACTGAGCATAGAAAAACCACGACTTGAGCACCACCCAAAAGGCTCAGCTCTCTTCCAGTAAGCTGTGCGTGGCTCAGGGTCAAAGCTTCATGCAGGCATCCAGGATAAAATCTGACGCCACAACCCCCTATATAATAAGATGTCTCATGTTGTAATGAGCAGGGACTGCTTATAGCTGTGCAGAGTGGCTGAAGCCAATCCAGCCTGCTTGATCCCTTTCTGAATGACCCTGGCTGTACCATACACTGAGCTAATGAAGAATGGCTCCATACGTGCCAGCCAGCAGAAATAGCTTTGCAACGTCTTCAAAAATAAAAGGCAGAGAGCGGAAGGAGAAACAGTATCGCTGCTAAAAAAGTGCTGACCATAAGCTTTTAATTAAAACAGGAATACCTTAGGGTTAGTAATTTGTCTGTGCACAGCTTAGAAGTTTTAATGTTTTAATTTGTACAATTCACAAGTTTCGACTTTTCCTAGAGCGCACCTCTGAGCATGTCTAGAAATTCAGCGCCTGTGTCAAATGTAATGCCAGCTTGCACTGCACAGGAATTTCTGTGAAAAAAGCACTCTTTGGAGTACTTCTACTTATAGCATCCCCCAGTAATGTTTTGCCCATTCATTAAACTAAATAAAAACAACAGCAATATTGAAATGAAGTAAATGAATATATTCTATATATAGTTAAGCCACTGAATACTCTAACAGCGATTATTTAATGTGACAAGCACATGTTCTATACGCCACTCTCACTAAACTGAACATCTAGCAAACTCTTTTAATAAAATGTCAATTGATTTTGAAGAGAAAGATAATGTGGTGACCGCAGGGCCAATAAACTGAGAAAAAGGTGGCAGACATGAATAAATAGGCATTTAAGGACAGGAAATAGCCAATTATGAGAATAAATGCAGCCTCATAAAATGGGCGCTGTGCTATCACAGGAAGATTAGATTTGCTACAGGAAAATTTCCTTTTAATTTTTTTTTAAAACATTTACTGTCTGTTATGCAGCTGTCAAAATTAAACTACTGCAAAGCTCAGACAGTAACAAGGTTCAATTATTTTACAATGAAAAAAAATTTCTAACTGACATAGCATTCTGAGCTTAATGTTTACCTTTTATTTTGAACTCTTCGGATGATAAGGAGTGAGAAATGAAATGAACAACAGTAAGGAAAAAACACAAGTGTTGCTGTCAGTGCAGGCTGATGGTCAATACAAGTTCTGTACATGTACATAGGCTGTCAAATTTTTATTTAGGCTGCAGTAAGGAGTATAAAGCCCTCCTTAAGATAATAAGTATTTTAATCAAGCATTCAAAGCTGGAGTCGAATAAGATGCCCCTGGTGCTAAATATTCTTTGATAGTTTATTTCAAAACAGATATCCCTCAAAAGGTGGAATACAACAATATTGCAACTTTAACCAATAATCAGTCAAAGACCCAGTCTACTCTTAAAGTTAGTAAAAGAATCGTGAAGTCATTATGATACAAGCAATGCAGAAATAATGTGCCCCTCACTCAAAAACAGGGAACAAAAGCTACCTCCACTGCAACAAAAAAACCCCTGCAATGACTGCAAAATTACAGGGTGTACACCAGAGATATGAGCTCCAAGTTCTCCAGTTCTTGACACTACAGCACTTTTGGAACGTTAGTAGTCCATGCTACTTTTTATTTAGGCTAAAAGCATCTGACAATTTGATTTTGCCCCTGCACCTTCCCTACAGCTATAAAATATTCCTAGTAGCACCATATCTAGAACAGGTTACCTGAGAAATACGTCTCTATTGTCTGCTCCACAGATCTCCATGAACAGCCCATCACAAGGCTGTGATTTCCTAAAGTCACACAAAGGGTGGGGAGTGATCTGGAAGCTTTTTCCAGTGAAAGCCCTAACCATCTTACAGGAAAAATATCCTCTGAAGGGCCCTCAGACCATAACCTAGGGTTATTCCATGAAGGAGTGCCACGGCCGCTCTTTATGGAAATCTAGGTTGAGAGCATCTCCGTGCGTACGCAGCCAGGTGAAACGCTGGCTTCTCGCCGCGCGCCAGGTCCCCTGCTCCAGGCTCGCAAGAGATGCGGCTGGCCTGTGTCTGACTTCAAGGTGCCAAGGCTCCAGCAGCATTCAACATCGTGCGAGCGCATCGGTGGGACGCACGCTTGTGAGACTTGCCAGTTTACACACGCTATGAGAAAAATTGCGATTTTTTTTCCCATTACTAGTTGAGTTTTATCATGGGAAAAAAAAATCAATTTTGTTTGCTCTCACATCAAATATTCCTGCAAAAACAATTAAACCATTTTTGTTAGATCTACTTTGCCGTCACCAGATCTTTGCGTGGGACCAAAACAGTGAAAAAGCCTGGTTTTTATCAAGGCATTACCTAAGCGCTAAGCCTATTCTAGAATAACCTTTACAGACACCAGTAGGAAACCCACAAAACTCCTCCTTTTAGGATTAGATTTCCTTACCAGTGCTGAAGTTAACAAAATACTTGTAAAGGTAAATAGCTTTGAAAAGTTGAAGTTGACAATGTACCTTTATATTTTACTGAGAGCATATACAAGTATTACAAGCTTTAAAGCTTTGGCAGTGCTGACTTTTACATCAGTTAAGGTGTTCTCTTAAAAGACATCTGATACCCACATCTGTTTCCATGGAGAAGAAAGATGCTTTGAGGATGAAGGTGAACTTGAATGCTACCAGAAAGTGGTGCAGAATGAGCATCGTGTTGGTAGAAATTTTTGTCTTGCATTCTCAAATTGAGGACCATGAAAACTTACAGCCATTTCTAGAAGGCCACAAGTTGCATATGACCAGCAGCTGTCACATCAAAATCAGGAGATCATAGTAATTTTGGACAATACAGTTTCTCATATGATTACTATTTAGATGCTGCTGCTGAAAAAAAAAAAGAGTTCTCCACCCGTGAGGAGGTCGGTCTGAAGAATTATGGCAAAAATAGCCATTAACTCCATAGACAGGTTTTCAAGCACGGCCCTAAATCACATTCCAGGGAATTTTGGCTTCCAGGGCAGTTTGAGTATTTTGCATGACCCTGGCGCTCTGTGCTGCAGGGTCCCTTGGGTGCACACCTGTGGCAGCGTCGGAAGCGGTGTGCAGGGGCCCGCGGGCGATCCCTGGCCGGCCGCTCCTCGGGAAGAGTTGCGGAGGCTCGTGCCCCCACACCAGCTCTGCGCATGAACGTTATCAGGCAGAGGGTGGATCTGGATTTTCAGGCGTTGAGAGATCAGCAAGGAGAAAAACCAGGCAAGTGCCGCAAGCTCGTGTGCCAAAGTATCACAGAGAAGTCGCTGCCGAAACAGGGTACAGCTCCCACGGAGGGAGATTTGAAGATTCAAGGGGAATCCACCACTTCTCTGAAACTGTGTTCAGTGTGTTAATCGCCCGAACTGTTAGAAATACATTTCTGATTTATTTTTAATTTGAATATATCTGGCCTTTGGTTCTTTTTATGCCTTTCTTTACTCAGTTGAAAAAGCCTTTAGTGCCCCGTATTTTCTTCTAGTGAAGGTACTGATATACCATAATCATATCTCTTCTTGATCTTCCTTTTGATATGCTAAACACCTTCAGCTCCCTATACATTTCCTTGGAACACATCTCCTACAGCCCTCAAATGACTTTTTGTAACTTTTCTGATGCAGTGAAATTCTCCTGCATCCTTTTTAAAGTGCAGAAGCCAGAACTATATGTAGTATTTTATTATCAGCATGTCTAAGAGGTAAAAATCACCTCCCCTCTCTAGTTCTAACAGAACCCGGAATGTAAGACCGCGTTGGCACCCTGGTGAAATATCCTTGCTAATGAATGAATTACAAAGGTAGCGACATGACATAGAAGGTCTCTTAAAAGCCAGGTGGCCAGGCAAGGGAGAGACAGCAGATAGCGAGATCATTTTCTCACATGACAAAATAAAGCATAAAAGAGGAATTGGCACAATCCTAAGTGATAGGGATAGAAAAGCACCACTTGGCTACAACCCAGGCAACTTAATTATCATCATGACTTGTTCAGGAAGACAGCCTTTTAACTCTGCTGTGATCCAGGTCTATGCTGCTCCAAAGGATGCCAAGGAGAGGAAACTGTGCGATTCTGCAATTAGAACTGAGCTGGACACACATCAGAAGCAGCGAGGCATGAACTGCTACAATTTGTGAGACTCCGTATCCTTTATCAGCAGAGTACAATGTTCCAGTAAAACCAAGAAACAAACGGAGAGGGGAAATTCTGCAAAGCACTGACAGAAAACGACACACCTCAGAAAGACAGGACTGCAGTAACGCAAAGTTCTTGGAAAAACCAGAGCGCAGCATTTTTAAGTGTAATAATGAGAAAGAAATAAAATGACAGACCCCACATGATGCTTGTGATGGGTGGTGGATAGAGGCGATGTACTGAAAACCGAGAAAGCTCCCCAAGGAGCTGGAGACTGTAACTCAGCTAAGTAGGGCACTGACTGGCGGGGAGTGCGGTGCTGAGCTCGGGAAGCTGGAGAGGATTCCCGGGAAGC